AAATACTAAAAGGAAATGTGGGTAAAAAATCCAGAAGCAATGAAAGATTGATACATTTGATGACATAAAAATTACAAAAATTGCTGGGCAAGAAACACCATCAAGTCAAAGACTGGAAGGAAAATTTGCTGCACATATCACAGACAAAGAATTAAAGAATTAATTTTATATAATACTATATACAGAATTAAAGATGTAAGGGACAAAGGACCAAAAACTGTATAGAAAAATTGGGAAAAGATATGAATAGACAGACAGTGCTCTCTCTCTCACACACACAGAAACTCATGCAAAGACATAAAATGGCCCTTAAACATGAAATATGTTCCAGCTCACCCATGATTAAAGAAAAGTACATTGAAACAATACTGAAATAACATCACCTCTCAATTTGGTGAAAAACACAAGTGCAACACTGTGTGCAAGCCAAGGCTGTAGGGAGCGAGGCACTCACACACAGCTGGGGAAGTGTGAAGGTGCAACCCCTCGTGAGGGCACTGTCAGCACAGAACAAAGTGCTTACGCGAGACCCAGCCCTCCCGCCGCCGCTGTGCTGACAGCGCGAAGGTACACATGCACAAGGTCATTCATTGTGACATGGTGATTGCAAATACTGGAAACAATGTAAATGTCCTCATCTAAGAAAGTGAACAAACCATGGTAGAGCCATGCAGAGTACTACTGAGCTCTGAAGGGCTCTGAATCGATATACAGACTTATTTCCAGAATGTACTGTTGAGTGCAAAAGGCAAAGTACAAAAAGTATAATGTGCTATTTTTATGTAAGGAAGAAGGGGGATATAAGAAAATATATCTTTCTGCTCATTTGTACTGAAAAAGGATTGAAGAGCCAGAAATGAATGAGATTAGTTATTTACAGAGGGTAGTAATAAAGTGGAAAGAAGGGGGATATGATTACAGGGTATAAAGGACCACAGTCGTGGGACACTTTCAGGTACCTTTCTGTGTAACTCTGACTCCTGGAACCACAATAATGTTCCTCATCCTCAAAACATAAAAAACAGAAGATGAGGTGAATTAAACTTGGAATAAAAACAGTAACAAAATATTGTATTTCATGTGACTAATACAAGCACATTGACAGGGGTGGAGGAGAAAAATAAGTTACATTATTCTGAGGAGATACTATAAAGCTAAAGACAAAAGGAACCACACACAAATACTGTACTCCAGTTAGTTGATTTGTTTCTCACAGGAGTGGGGGTTAGCAATTCTGAAAGTACGTTAGGATTGAGAAAATAAGTCAATGTATTGTGGGCAAAGTGAGGGTGGGAGCATATTGAAAGGACACAGGAACCAGCTTGAAGGGCCTCTCAGTGGCCAAATCTTGAACAATTTGATCAAGAAAATAATGGGTTATAACCCATTGAAGAAAAATAAACATCGTGAGTCCATACACAATAGAATCCCAATTAAATGTAGAAGGATGATGGAAATGAAAAAAAAATCCCCATTAGGCAAACAACATTGTACTAGTTGTTGGAGGTAAGAACCATCTCTGGATGTTTAAATTATAGGAAAAAGAAAAAAGTATGAGACAGGCACCCTGCACTCTGGTGGGTCTGGCCACCTTGCTCTTCACAAACAATCCTACCTCAGGGCCTTTGACTGTTCCCTCTGCCTGGAATGCTTCGCCCACACGTAGGAAAAGGGTTTACTCCTTCACTACCAGCCATTTTCTTTTATCTGCTGTCTTTCCCATTAGAATGTCAGCAACACGAAGGCAGGGGTTTTTCTCATGCTGTATTCCCATCGCCCAGCACAATGCCTGGTGCATGGTAGGTATTCAACAAGCATTTGCTGAATGAATACAGAGTAGGTTGGGAAGCAGGTGAAGGTCCTCCCACCCCCAAGGGTAGGGGAAAAAAAAAAAAAAGGAAAAGGTATGAAGAGAAACAGGATTGTGCATGGTATTGAGATACTTCCTTACAAGATACTAATTAAAAGGGGATAAAAGTTTATCACTATAGTGGGGAAACCTGGCAGACACCACCTTAAACAGGTGATCAAAGTTAACATCATCAGCAATAAGACATACTCATATCATGCACCTCTTGATGTGAAGCACTGATAAAGGCACAATGGCACTTCTGTGGGATTGTCAAAAATGGGTAATTTCAATCTGATCATGAGAAAAGATCAGACAAATCCAAATGGAGAGAAACACAAAATGGCCAGTATTTTTCAGAAGTGTCAGAGCCATGGGTAATAAGACAGACTGAGGAACAGTCACAGATTGGAAGAGAATAAAGAATTGTGAGATTTGGATTGGATGCTGGATTAGAAAAGAGACCAGAAATAGGATTTCACTAATGTGAATGACTTGATTTTGATAATTGTACTATAGATTAGGTAAGATGCTAACATTAGTGAAAGCTAGGTGAAGTGTATATTGGGAACTCACTGTATTATTTATGCCACTTTAAAGTTTTTTCAAAATAAAATGCCGTGGAGGAAGGAGTTGGTGTTGTGTCGGCTGCTGTCGGTCGTGTGGGCAATTGCTCAGGGTCGTGTCAGGAACCTGGAAGAAAGGCCATAACCATGAAAAGCAGTTCAGTTTCCACCACGGGTATTGGCCACCTCTGGGATTTAATATCCCAGGATGTCAATAAACAAGACCTCCATACCCCTCAAACCAAAGAGAAACCAGCGTTTAGAGAGTTGAATGTAAACAAACCCACATCTGAAAGAAAAGTCTCTGTATTTGGTAAAAGAACTAGTGCACACCGATCCTGGATTAGTCAATTTGGTATATTTTTCAGTTCTGAAAAAATCAAGGACTCCAAACCACTTAATGACAGAGCATTCATTCGTCAGTGTATGTGGGAACTCCGTGAGTTATTTTAGAAAATGGTTATGCAAGAGTGTATCCATGAAATCTATAAGCCCTTCTTAAAGACTTCCTAAAGACCTTCACTTTTCTTTATGGCTTCCTGTGCCCTTCATATGAAGTTCCTGATGCAGAGTTTGAAGAAGAGGTTCCAAGTGTCTTTCAGGATCTTGGGGCTCCTTTTGCATTATCACAGGGCTCCATGTACACTGTGGGGACCCCTCAGATGTGGTCTCACATGGTTTGGCTAACAGACTGCATCAAGTTACATCCTACCATGAAAGAAAGCTCCCCTTTATTTGATGAGGACAGCCTTTGGAATAGGAACTGATGATGGAATTATGTGTAATAAGTTGTTTTTGGACTGTACCATAAAATGCTATGAAAGCTTCATGACTGGTGCCGACAGCTTTAAAGAGATGAATGCAGAGTTGTAGTCAGCGATGAAGGATTTATTTATTTATTTAGCTTTTTTTAATACATTGCTTTATTTTATCAAGGTATTATTGATATGCACTCTTATGAAGGTCACATGAAAAACAATGTAGTTACTACATTCACCCATATTATCGAGTCCCCCCCCCACACCCCATTGCAGTCACTGTCCATCAGTGTAGTAAGATGCCACAGAGTCACTATTTGCCTGATGAAGGATTTATTTAATGTAGGTGCTTCCAAGCTGGAATAATGAGCAGCAAAAAACCGCGAAGCATTGAATGAACAGACCAAGTTTGGGACAAGAAAGAAAAAAGAACTTAATTATCTGGAGACATTGGAAAATCTGAAAGCTTCCTTACAAGCAGGTGTTCAAAAATGAGCAATCTGGAGTCTCATTCAGCCATTCTTAGCTAGAAACTGAATGGCCTCCATGAAGAAATTTCTAGAGTAGAGAATATGAAACAATGAAGCAGGAGAATACTTGACTACACAACATTGTTGATAACTGGTAGTACTCAATTATGGACATCAAGAGAATAAATCATAAAAGAAAGAAATTGCAGCAGATTACTAATAAATTAACTGAGGACCTGGAGGCTGAACAACAGCAGTTGTGGAATGAGGGGCTAAAATATGCCAGAGGCAAGGGGGCAACTGAAACCCAATTAGCAGAGTATCACAAGTTAGCTAGAAAACTGAACGTCATCCCCAGGAGTGCTGAGAATTACCAAGATTGGGATTAAGCCTTATCCTGAAGTTGGTGCCAACAGCATGCAGAGTTCAAGTTTATGTACCACTCAGGGAACTCTTGAACTGAACTGAAGAAGAAATTAATAAATCCCTGAATTAAAAATGGAGTAAGAGGTCCTTTAGGATGAGTAAATGCAATGGTAACAGAAAGCAAGAGGGTAAGAACTCTGAAAGAAGTTCAGAAAACTTCACCACCATCAACAAAAAAGATCTGAAAAATAACTAGGAAAAAACAAATAAGGAAACTGATGAAGGTGACAAAACATGGGCCAATGAGCTGGAGAAACACAAGGCTTGCTGGAGAGACGGGCCTCTGCAGCTCTGAGTCAGTTGGATGCTGTTTAGTGGGAACACCCACTGGTTGTTCAGACCACAACTGAGGCCAGATGAAAAGCGGTAAATAACTCTCGGTGTCGTCTAGAGATGGTTGCCACCCGTGTGGGTCTTGTGGAGAAACATCTTGACGAGCACATCACCAGAGTTGACAGAGTATGAAGAATACATGTCTGAAGATCTCTTGGAAAATATTAGAGAGCTTAGAAGCAAGTATAAGAAGAAAGCCACCTTACTTAAAGCTTCTGATGAATGAAGATGAAGTGTTGACTAAACAAGAACTCTGTTAACAGTGCAAATTTTGAAATGTCCTGTGTAGGTTTGAAACTCTCTAACATATCCTATACCCATCTTTGAGTGAAATCTCATGACCACATCCTCCCAAGCCTGTGAAATGTTTTTTATATCTCTTATAAGTCTAGTTCATTAACTTGAAGTATGTATAACCTGAAATTCTGGGAACTTGTTGGATTGTTATCTTTAGGTGGGAAGGACCAGTTATATTAGGTACCCAAAGTTAATAAAATTGCATCAAAAAATTCATAAAAATATATTGCTGAAGTTTCCATTTTGTGGGCAGAAAAGAGGATATGAGCTTGCTGTCATGTAACTTTAGTACAGGAAGACCACCATTTATGCAAATAAATACCACAACTGTGATGTGTTACAGAACAAAGGCTTAATGGGCAGTGTAGAATCTGGGTCAGCAGACAAAGTCAGAGAAGGTTTTCCTGAGGAGGTGATAGCTGGGATCTGAAAAATAACTAGGCATTAAGTAGGTACAGAGAGGGAGACAGAGTTCCAAATGGAATAGTATATGCGGAGGCCCTGTGGAATAGTAAGGGGGAGCAGGGTGCTTTTGGGAAACAGGACAAGGGCCCATGTGGCTGGAAGGAAGAAGTGCTGTTGGTGCAAGGAGAAGCTGGAGACATGGGAAGGGACCAGATCACCCAAGGCCTGTGGTTCGCACGTGAGTCTCCGTCATCAGCAATCCAAATTCCTGAGACTGAGTCCACCTGAGAAGTGTCCCTGAAGAGAGCCGTATCACCACCATTTCACTTCCAAATGGTGTTGGCATGACAGGTGGAGGTCTGGCCCTTTTTTTGAGCTCTGAACTCAGACCAGGGAATTGCTTGAGGGCCCTCTATGTGGTGTGTCAGGCACAGCCTTGTACTGTTCGCTAGTAACAAGCCTTATAGATCCCTAGGGAGCCGCCTGTCAATTTCATTCCCAGGGACACTGTGGTTTATAAACCACTGCACTGCATCACTTTTGCCCACTCAGTAGCCAATTCGTATTTGCCTCAGTTTCACACAAGTGACCTCCAGGTCCCTCCACAGCCAATGCCAGGGCCTGTGTTGCTTAGCAATCCCAACTCTCTCATCCTCTTTCTTTCTTTGAATGGATTTGTTGAAGTCCAAACCCAGCCTCCCCTTAAGACGATTTTTCACTTATTCCCCTCTATGCCCCAACCGTAGTCCAGCTCAATCATGTTGAGACAGATCCCATTTGTCTAACAGAAATGCAATGAGAACTGATTCTGAATGTCCTGGGGGTCAGAAATCGCCCTACATCCTCTGTATCCCTCCAAATACCTCTCTGCCAACCACCAGAAGTAGTTTTGCCAAAGGAGTACATGGCAGGAGAGACTTTGGGCCACATTGCCAAAACTGAAATGACTAATCTAGGTTGTGTCAGTGATCTTAGAGTGCTGGCTGCAATCAGAAAGTGGGTTTTGTAAGTCACACGGTGGCCTGCCGTTTCCTTGTCTGGTAGCATATCTCCCTAATCTGATTTTGCATATTGCCCTGTTCTGCATTCAAATCTTAGTGCTATCTACCATCTGCAGACTGTTCAGTGCTTTAAGAAGCAGAAATTCTTGCATTCCTTTTTCCAGATGTTCTTTTGCAACCCAGTATCTATTAACTTCATGAGGTTTGTGCTTGTTCCTGAAATTGCATGTATGCATATATGTGAGTTTTATGAGAGAAGGATACATAGTTTCCATCAAAATCTCAACAAGGTGTATGCCCCCTCAAAAGTCACAAAGCACTGTCTTACCTGCATTTTATTGCTCTGTGTTCTATGAGGGCTTCCGTAAATTTCTCAAGTCCTAATCTTCTCCAAGCTCATGGGCTGGGTCCCAAAAGAGCAAAAATTTAATGATTGGTTTATAGCTTTCTTATCTGATGATAGGATGCTCCTCTCTACTTCCCTGACCTTCACAGGTGTTTCCCCATCTCCTGCCAAGAATTGTTTGACGTCCAGCCATTGGTAAATGAATGATGAATGAGAACTCTGCAATCTCCAGCTGGAATTCTTGTTATTCAAGCCATAGTATCAATCATCTAGTAGTAGAAGGTGAGGTTGAAAGACGATGTTACCTATAAATATTTATTATACTGTAGATTTGTGCTTTATATACCTTTCCATATGGGTGTTATAGATCACAATATATGAAGTTTATTAAAAATGGTGTTTCCATTGGACTGAAACAAACCATCATTAAGTTTTCTCCTCACATGTAGTTTCTTTGGTTATAAAATCAATATATTACTGTTAAAAAAGCAACACCACAGGTAAGCAAAAAAGAAACAGCACAAAATTTCAATTTTGAACTTACAGTTCAACCCTCTTGGAGAAAATTCCAATACAACTTTATGTTCTGCATACTCTTCAAAATTATTTGACTATATGCATATGACTGCTTTTTAAAAAGAACCAAAATCATGTTTCACCTTCTCTTTTTAATAGCTTTATTGAGGTATATATATTTATTATATATATAATAAACTGTACATGTTTAAAGTATATAATTTGAAAGTTTTGAAATAATACATTTGGGAAACAATCAAAATAGTGAACATATTATTTATCATTTCCAGAAGTTTCCTTTTGTCCCTTTAATACCTCCCTCTTGCTCTTCTGACCTTCAAGCAACCAGATTTGCTTTATGTCCCAACAAATTAGGCAGCTTTTTCTGGGCTTTTATATAAATAGAATCATACAATTTGCACTCTTCTTTTTGGTCTGGATTCAATGAACTTAAAATCATTCAATACATTCAACTAATTATTTTGAGATTCATGCATGATATTGTGCATGCATCAGCAATTTGTTCCTATTAGTCCCTGATGCTGTTGTTTTCCACTGTAGGGCTGTATCACAGTTGGTTTTTTCATTCACCTATTGATGGACATTTGGGTTGTTTCCCAGTTTTTGCCATTACAAATAAAGTTACCATGAACATTTGTGTACAAGTCTTTTTATAGGTATACATTTACTTTTTTTCAGGTCAATATATTGGAGTGGAATAGTTGGATCATCTGGTAGGTATATGTTGGACTTTTTAAGAGACTACCAAGATGTTTATCTAATACCAAGATGTTTATCTAAGTGGTTGCATCATTTTCCATTCATGATAGCAGCAAATGGGAGTTTCAGTTCCTCCACATCCCTGCCCACACTAGTATGGTCAGTTTTTTAAAATTTTAGCCATTCTAATAGGTGTGTGGTAGTATCTCATCATAGTTTTAATTTGTATTTCCCTAATTACTAATCTGTTGAAAGTATTCTCATATGCTTATTTATCATCCATATATCTTCTTTGGTGAAGGGTCTATTCAAATTTTACCTATTTAAAAAATGAGGTTGTTTTCTTATTGTGCTTTGAGAGGTCTTTATGAATCTGGATATGAACCTTTCATTAGATGCAAATTTCATAAAGATTTTCTCCCAGACTGTGGCTTTTCCTTCCCTCTTCTTAACAGTGCCTTTGAAGAACAAAGGTTTTAATTCTGATGAAGTCCACTTCAGCAATTTGTTCTTTTATGAATTGTACTTTTTGTGGTATATCTAAGAAATTTTGCCTAACCTAAAATTTTTGTCCTGTGTTCTTCTAAAAGTTTCCTAGCTTTTTTACTTTAGGTCTATTTTAATATATATAAACTATAGATCCAATTCTCTTTTTTTCTTTTTGCATAAGGATATCCAACTTTTGCAGCATCATTTCTCAAAAGATGATTCTTTCTCCACTACTTTGCCTCTGCACATTTGTCAAAAGTCAGTTATCCACATGTGGGTAGAGTTTATTTCTGGACTCTGTATTCTGGTCCATTGGTCTATCTTGGTACCAACACTATGCCATTTTGACTACTGTAGCTTTGTTATAATTCTTGAAATCAGACAGTGTTACCCTTCCAACTTTGTTCTTCTTTTTCAAAGATATTTAGGCTATTTCTAGGTCCTTTGCATTGCCATATGAATTTTAGAAATAAATTTGTCAACTTATATATTAAAAGAAATCCTGCTGAATTTTGTGAGAATTGACATCTTACCCATAATGAATTTTCTGAGCCACGAACAACATGTATTTCTCCATTTACTTATTTAGGTCTTAATTTCTTTTAGCAATATATTACATTCTTTAGTGTACAGGTGTTTCATATCTTTTAGATTTATCCCAAATTATTGTATATTTTTCATGTTGTTATAATTCCAATTTCTGTTTTTCCTCAGAGAGTATAGAGAAATGCAACTGGGTTTTGTATATTGGCCTTGTATCCTGAAGCTTTGTGAACTTAATCAGTGTAGTTTTGTGTAGATTCCACTGGATTTTCTACATTGATTTTCATGTTATCTTCATATATAGACAGTTTTACTTCTTCCTTTCCAGTCTGGATGATTTTTATGTCTTTTTCTGGTCTAACTTCACTATCTAGACATCTGGCACAACATTGAATAGAATGGACATCTCTTTTGTTTCTGATCTTATAAAGAAAGCACTAAGTCTTTCCTCATCAAGTATGATGTTAGCTGTAGGTTTTTCAAGATGCCAGTTGTTGAAGCTCTCTTCTGTTTTTAGTTGCTGGGAATTTTTATATTAGGAATAAACATTGAATTTTGCCAAATGATTTCTGTGCCTGTTGAGATGATCACTATTTTACCTTTTTAAATTTGTTAATATAGTGGATTACATTGATTTTCAAATATTAAGCCAATTCTGTATTCCTGGGGTAAATCACACTTGGTCATGATGTATTATCCTTTTAATATTTTGTTGAAATTGATTTGCCATAATTTTGTTTTGAATTTTTACATCTATGTTCATGAAGGATTTTGGTTTGTGGCTTTATTTTCTTGTAATGTTTTCATTTAGTTTTGGCTCACACAGTGTTTTTAACCAGCTTTTTCTACCGATTAATCACAAATACATTTGCATTTCAATAGATGCATTTTTGCAATGTTTGGGAGCATCATAGCATTTTGTTCTGGATGAATCATAATTTAATCTAATGTCGGATGTTTGTTTCCAACCTTTTCCTACTATGACCAATATAATTCTTTTGCAAAAATTTTTGTGAACACAGAGGATTCTTAGGATAAGGACTTGAAATTAGTGAGTCAGAGAGCTACACATTTTAAGACTTACGTATTGTAAAATGGTCCTCTAGAAAAGCCATAACAATATATATTCCCATCTGTGGAGTATAAGATTAGTTGTTTTTTTGAAACTCTTCCCCAAACTAAGTACAGTTGACTCTTGAACAAGGTTTTGAGTGGTCTGAACTGCGTGGGTCCACTTATATGCAGATTTTTTTCAATATATATTGGAAAAATTTTTGGAGATTTGCAACAACTTGAAAAAACACTTTCTTTTCTCTAGCTTACTTTATTGTGAGTAGAGAGCATACAATAGATGTAAAATACAAAGTATGTGTTAACTGACTTTGTTATTGGTACGGCTGCCAGTCAACAGTAGACTAATAGTAGTTATGTTTTGGGGGAGTTAGCAGTTGTATGTGGCTTTTCACCTCTGCCAGGGGTTGGTGCCCTGACCTCTGTGTTGCTCAAGGGTGACCTGTATGATTTTTTAAAAGTAGATCAGTAGTTCTTTCCCTCACACACACTCCTCCTTCAGCCTAAATCACCTCTAAGTGGTCTTAAGATATCAGAGAAGGAAAAGAGAGAGAGAGACAAGTGATGTCCTTTTACGTAGGGAAGTCACCACAATGAAAGATCACCAAGAAATATGTTTTTATCCCTTAACCTACTTCTGGTATGCCTGTATCTCCAGAGTAACAAGGTAATTTAGTGACAGGGAACACTTCGATGTTCACACATGTGGTTGAAGGATAAATTAGTTTCTTTTTTTTCACTTGGAGAATGTCATTCTGGAAGACCCCTTAATGACAAATTAGTCCAATCTTCCATTTAATAGATGGGAAAACAGACAGAGAGAGGGAGGAACTTGCCCAAGATCCCATAGGAAATCGGTAGCAGAGTCCACGGTTGCACGAGATTACTGCTAAGTTCTAATTTTGTTTTTTCTGTGACTCCTCCACTTAGAAGAATATCCAAATAGAAAACCTTCTTCCCCCAACATACACTTTTGTGAATCTGCTGCTTTAAGAGGAGCAGCTACAGACTAGACTATTGCTTTGTATTTACATTTGTGCTTGGTCTCTGCTTTCAGGGATATCATGGGCAAATGGCATCCCTTTTCCCATTAAATGAGGCCGATAATATGAATGGTTGAATGTGGGTCTGGTTCAGAGGTACAAAAGACCTCCAAAGAAACCCAAAATAAAAAAAAAAGCATAGCCTGAGAGGTATCAGCGCTGACTTGAATCATCTACATTTCTCGTGGAGAGATTAAGAAGCCAGTAATTAATATAGAGATGTTGGGGTTTGATAAATGTATATAACATTCAGAATGGAAGTTAAATTGGGGATGGGAGGAAGGAAGAATTATTAGAATAAAAATAGATAATTATGCATAGACAGCTGTGGAGTTGGCTATGGAATGGTCGACAGGTTGGATCAACTCATGGAGGGCTTGGCATGTTCCAAATACACACCTCAAAAGGCCCAGGATGCTGATCATGATATCTTTTGCAATGGTGACACAGCTCATGTCTTCTGGATAAAAGGTGATAAGCTCCAGGAGGGGTGGGATGATGAGGGCCAGGGCACTGCTGCTCACGGAGCCCACCAGGGAGATGGCCAGGTCCAGGCGGGGGATGAGGATGGCTGAGACACCTGCAGTGAGGAGAAATTTAGAATCACTGAATGTTCCTGAAGAAGGGAGCTCAGAAACAAACCATCTGTTTGAAGCCTTATAATTGTACAGATGCCCAACAGAACATTTTGGAGAGGTGGGAAAAGAGCCCACTGTGGACTTGAATAGTAGGCCTGGCACTGGGGCTCTGGACCCCACCTTTGTTTTAACTGTCAATATAAATGCCCTCCTTTTATATTTTACCTATTGGGTTTTTCACATATAATAGTTACTGGAAAGGATCCTCTACCACCTATCTATTGTAACCTTGTCATTGTAGAGATGGGGAAATCTAGAGCTCTAGAAGGATAGGACGTGCCTACGGTCATACAGGGCTGAGATGGAAATCCATGGAAATGCCTAATCTAAGGCCCTTTCCTCTCTGCTCTGCTGCCTCCTATATATATGAAAGAACTCGGTACATAGCAGGCACTCAATAAATGCTCGACCGTAACCCAGACACTCAAGCTGCACTGAGTTTGTTCTAATCTACATAATATAGGCACTCTCTACAAGCAAATATGGGTGAAAAATGAGAGACGGTCTTATAGTTAGAATCTCATTTGTTTTCCTGGTGGTTAAGGAGGGCACAACAACATGAAGACAGCATTAGCTGCTCACTCCCCATCTCTTCTCTTCTGTAAATTCTCCAAAATCTCCATCTTTTACATATACAATGAACACATATCATGAATTTTCCAGGTGAGTCCACTTTTGATAACGTTTGAATGAATAAATATACAGTTTATGTAATTTAACTTTACACACTGTATCATTTTCCTATAAACAAATCTGGGAAAACCTGTTCTGGAAAGCACCCATATGAGCTTCCTGGATCTCAAAGAAATATTATCTTTTTCTGAAATGTTCCCAACACATCCAATCAGAGAATGACAGAGACTCATAGGTTGAGAATCCATCACCCCCATGATAGGATAGTCCCTGTCTACAGGTTTCCTTCATCAGATGTTTAGTAAGTTGCTTACAAAGAGGGAGAGAAAGATCAGCGTTTGTTCTCCCGAAGGGCAAGGAAATCTATAATGCCAAGTGGACTGGAGGAGCGCTCTAGAAGGATCGTCTCTGCTCAAGCCCTTCCTGGCTCCCGTTGCCTGATCTCCTTAGCATCAGGTTCCTTAGGACTTGGGCCCTGCCAAATCCTCTGGCTGCATATTTCATCACTCCCCATTGCTTTTAGTTCTCCAAAGAGACCATATGTAAGTATTTGTCTCAGATATGTGTGCAGAACCTGCTCCCTACATGTGATCTTCATCCTCCATCTACCTCCTACTTATCTTTTAGGTCTCAACTGAAGTATCACTCTACTATTTCAGGAGGTCCTGACTTGGCCCAGCCTAAGTTATAGAATCTTCTATATGCTCTTAGGGTATCCTCATGTTTTAGCCATCATCTGGTACACCATTATGTACCATCTTACCATTCACCACAATGTACTGTAATTACTTCCTTGTATAAATTTCCCATTCAACTATCAGCCTTATGGAATCAGGAGTCACGTCTTCTTCATTAATTATTATTGTATCCCTAGTGTCTAGCAAAATGTCAGGCACATAGTAGGTGCTCTACCAATGATTGTTGAATGAATGAAGAATAATGGAGTTGACAGGTGAGTAAAGGAGGAGGAAGTGATCATTCAGCACATAACAGAATCATGACATGTCATTAGAAGGTCAGCTATCTCTAATGGTGCCCTCCCTGGTCCCAAGTAGCCTGAACTATTCAGTTTTTCTCTTCATCTGATACCCTTCCTACTAGAAATGATCTCAAAACAATGTATTTTCAGGTTCCTGATGTCTTGGTGCAGACAGGGAGCTCTCTGTAATACCTCAAACCAGCTAGGTGTGCTGTTTCTGCTCCCGGAATCTCAGGCTTGTAAAGTGCAGCAGCTGACAGCAGTTTCTCCTGCTGGATGGCTCCAAGCGTCACACAGCTTCCCCTGACCCTGAACAGAAGCTGAGGATTCCTTCAACTTTAATCTCTGATGGCTGGAGCTTTTAAGACTAAATTCGCTCTCTCTTGCACAATAATCCTACAGTGATTGAGGACAGATACAGAAGTTCCCCAAGTCTTTACTTCTTCAAGCAAAATATCCCTAGTTCTTTCTCTCACTCTTCATGGGGCCTCTTTTCTGATCTTCTTTCTGTGGATGTGCTTCAGAGGAAGACTCCCCCAGCCCTGCTTGTGGTATTTCCCAAACATCTGCAATAGTGCCTAATGCAGAATGAATGAAGGACTAAATAAATGGAAGGATGAATGAAGGAAGAAAGGGAGGGAGGAGAAAAAAAAAGAGTACACCAAAAAATGATCTCCAAGACTTGAACAAATCAGCCCCTTGAGGTTTTCCCATACAGTTAAACACCACTTTGTGATAGGGGACTTGGCCTTAATTTATGATGGGAAGGAGCATGGCACAATGGAAAACATAGGCTTTGGTGCTATACAACCTGTGCTCAAATCCCAGCTCTGTCCTTGAGCAGCTATATGATTTGAGTGCACTTCTTTTTTTTTTTTTTATTGAAGGGTAGTTGACATACAGTATTACATTAGTTTCAGGTGTACAACACAGTGATTCAACATTTATATACATGATAATTCTAGCTACCAGCTATCACCATACAAAGTTGTTACAATATTTTGACTATATTCCTTATGCTATACATTACATCCCGGTTACTTATTTATTTTACAATTGGAAGTCTGTACTTTTTT